ACAGCCTTTCAGGGCTAACAGGCAGATGTACCTACACATGCTGCATAAGAAAGTACTTTGAGAATGATAGGCTCTCAGCACACTCATTCACCTTTTTTAAATGCTTCAATATACCATTCAGCAAAAGGAAAAATTGATTTTCACCAGGTTTCAACATCACAGACACAGAGAAATATGACTCTGCTGGGCTTTACTGATAAAGCCTTCAAGTTATACAGATTTCAAGCTGGTCATCGTTTTCAGATCAAGTTATAGAATACGTTAAAACTGAGGTGTCAAAAAGACCAGGATATTCCTGGAAAATATTCTGTTCCTGAGAGAATATTGCATCTGCTAGGTGGATGTGTTACATCCATACTGCTAAGCCAAGCATATGGTATACTATTAATATGTGCAAATACTTAGGTATTAAGAACGGTGGTGATTATTTTGGAAGGCATTGCTTTTTGTCCCGACTCCTCTGAAAATGTTACAATATAATATTACTCATGCCTTTAATTTCTATCCTTAGCTATTCTATGGTTCTCATGCATAATACTTCCCTTGATCCACAGTGTACTTGCCAAAAGACAAAGACAGATGCAATATTCAATCTTTTGCACTTTGTATCAAAAAAAACCCCAAAAGTACAAAATAGTAAAATAAAACAATAAAAACTGAAAAATAAAAACAAGTGAGCTGGACTTTCACATATAAGAGGAACTAGGCATAATGCATCAATTGCTAGCTCAAAATCAGCTGTAACACCTTTTTACTGAAGAAAAATAACTCAACAAAAGAATGATACCTAGCCATTTCTCTAAGATTTCTTGAAGCCCTGCATCTTGAATGTATCTTGATTCTATGAACAGCATCAGTCATGGAGACTTTTAATTTGATACTGAAAAAAAGAGTTGTCTCTAGAAGCAACATCCCTGGTGTTTAGTAGTTCATGTATATAAAACAAACTATTATAAATCCTCAGAAATAAGATTTCAGTCCTGCAGGCCCATGTCATGCCCAGAGTTTCACAAATGAGCATGAGTAAATGCTCCCAGTGCAGGACCAAACTCTACAATAATAATGCTACTAAACCTACATTTGCAACTCCAGCTTCATGATTTGTTGTACCAAGACTAATGAATGCATGGGCAATCAGCCTCCTTTATCCTCTTTTTTATATTTTTTTTTTATTTTAAAAGAGCGGTAATGTGTTTAAGTCACACTGAGCTTCATCTTGTACTTGCTGAATTCAACACTCTCACTTTCACAGCATGGGACCCTTAGAGCACTGGTTCCCAAAAGACAAAAAGATCTTGGCTCTTGGCCTTGTCTCTTTTCATACTGTG